GATTGGGTTGGTTTATCTCCACCAAAATTCAGCTTCCCTTTGCACTGTGCACACAACCTTTCTTCATCATCTGATCAATACGTGTCCCATCTTGCATGCCAGTTGATGATGAACCACCCTGCACAATGACATTGGGGTTGCCACTTGGCTGAGATGTTGTATCCAACACCATCTTGAAGTGTGGCAAGTCAATCTTTGAAAAGTCAGGATTGACCATGTTGACGCCCACGACATTTGGGAATGGATCAGTATCCACTATCACGGCATCCTTCTTAGGGTCTGGGAACTTGATGCGTCCCTTGTCAATTGCAACCTGCAAAACATTACGAAAAACCACACAACTATTAGTGGCATGTGACATACTATTATGCCACTTTCAATAACGTTTTCCTTTTAACTTATCAGGGGGTGGTATACTATGCCCCCAGACAGCTTAATCTGACCATCCTTGTACAATTGGTCAAAAATCAAATCCAAATTGCTAACATTAAAAGAAAATTTCTAAGTTGGACTGGAGCACGATTAGGTTTCCCAACCAGCTGTTCATTATCCATTTTGCCTAAGGAAGCACAAACATATGGCTTTCCTTGCACAATTTCAGCCAAATCTATCTCAACACCATCCACATCCTGAGCAACATGGTTAATGGCATAATCAAAATTAGGGTGGTATATTCCCCTAGATGCACTACTTCTATTCTCTTCTTCTCGTAGAAGAGTCTCGTACCTAACCGCACATGACATCAACTGGAATAAATCAGAGAACTCCCTATCTTGAAATTTTTTATGAAGTTCAAAGTTTCAACCACCTTGTGCTAGCTTGACAAATTCACGTTCTGTCAAGTTCACAAAACAACGATTACGTGCATTTTTAAAACTTGTCAAGAAGTGTTCCATAGTCTCCCCTAGTTGCTGGCGCATACATGCCAAGTCAGCCATGGTCACTTCTGGTTCAGAACGATAAAATTGTGCATGGAACATTTGTTCCATTTGTTGCCAAGTTTGCATTGAATTAGATGGCAAATTGACGTACCATGCAAAAACAGGTCCTGTCAAAGAGTTGCCGAATAAACATAGCTTGACAAAATCACCTACATCACCACATTGGATAGTAAATCGTCCAACATGCTCCACTGTAGATTGATCACCCGTTCCAGTAAAAGGTACAAACTCTGGTACCCTAAACCCTCTTGGGAACGGATACATTCTATTCACCCACTCCGGATACGGCTTTCGATAGACAGGTGGCATCGTTGGTCTCATACCAAAACCAAACTGCTCAACCAACAACTGTGCCATCTGATCACGGAGTGTATTCACATCGTGCCCCCCTTGTTGCCCCCCTAGGGTATGAAACCACTAGGATCCACACCTTGCATGTTCATAGGGGGCGGGATTTGCTGCGGGTACGCACGTGGTGGTACTGGGTCAACATTGTTCGGACCCAAACCAAACCCAACATTAACAGGAGCCATGTATAGTATGGCTTCTGGAATGTTTTGTCGAATAACACCTTGCTCAGGTGGCAGTTGCTCAACATGGATCTGAGATGAAGTGACGTGACTCTCGCCAACGTTCACCCTTTGAGGTGTTGGTACGGTGGTTGCCACCGGTGGTGTAGGGTTCACCGGGCGTGGGTGCTCACCTCTACCAGACGGTAAGTTAGTGTTTTCACTTTCAAGATTTGTAAAGTCTCGACCATCTGAAGACAAAGCCCTAGTTTGCAAAATTGGTCTGTTCAATAATTACCTAAACTCACCCAAATCATTCGTATTTTTGTTTACCAACTCAAACAATTGAGCCAATCGTCTATTTACGCGGGAATTGAGACAATCAACTTGAGAGTTTACCTGATGAGCCATAGCTCTAGCTTCCTCTATCAACTGGAGACTCTCCACCATCATTTGGCGGTTCTCCTCCGTTGCTTTGCGGTTCTCCTCCATCATCTGATGAAGAGACACAACTGCCTCGCCTAGATCTACATATGGTGCCATGTTTGGCGCCTCTGCTCCAGCATTGTTTCCTCCTGCTTTGTCAACTTCAACGTTAACCAACTGCCCCTCCTCCACAGCACCTTGTGGAGGATCACCATCCTGAATCCTTCGTCGCGGAGCCATATCGAACACACGTTGTCCCACCAGGTGTGCCAATTTGTTTCAGGTGGAATTTCGCGTGATCAATGCACCCTGACTTCAAAAAAATGGAAAACGATGTTACTCGCTCCACACCTCTTCAAACATTGTTCGAACGAGGGTGTTCGATGCATACTGCTACGGTTACTGTTCTAGAGAGAAAAGATAAGGAACTGACTACTTTTACCTCTACTCCTATGGAGATTCCGTGAGAGCTCCGCAACTACTGACTACAACTAACAGAGAAGTCTCGTTGGAGGGTCCCTGGTGCTACTGCTACAGTTACTGTTCTAGAGAGAAAAGATAAATTTTGACGAGACTTGTTTTGGTTTTATTCGTCCGTCCTTCGTCCAGAGTCTTGCTGCCAGTTTTGTTGTGCCTCACCCTCTAACTGCCTTCTCTCTCTTCTCCACGTAGCATCCAGTAACTCCTCTCCTAGCGTGTTTTGCAAGTCAGCTGCTGCTTCTGGTAACCACCTTTGACACATCATCATGTCACTGGACAATCAACCCTATGTACCATGGATGAGCAATTAGATGGTCACCACACACCAAATAACTTGGATGGTATCCATGTTGTTCGATGGCACCATCCACTTTGAGTTTGGATGATGTCCATTATATTTGGGATTGTATCCATGTATTTGGAAACTACCATCCATTATTCGATTTCAATGGTATCCATGTACTTGGACACTACCATCCATTATTGGATTTGGATGGTATCCATGTATTTGGACACTACCATCCATTATTGGATTTAGATGATATCCATGTACTTGGACACTACCATCCATTATTGGATTTGGATGATATCCATAATGTTGAACACTACCATCCATTATTGTATTTGGATGGTATCCATGTATTTGGACACTACCATCCATTATTGGATTTGGATAGTATCCATAATGTTGGACACTACCATCCATTATTGTATTTGAATGGTATCAATGATATTGGACACTACCATCCATTATTCCTATGACCTGACTTGATAAATTGGACCATTCATGTACACATGGACCAACTACTTAAATTGGCCAAACTGTTCACACAAACAATAATTAATGAAAATTATTTTGGTGTAAATCGTAACCAAGGCCCGTTTAGTATTGTTGCTTGTTTTTGTTTCCTATTGTGTTTTAAGAAATTTGGAAAACCAAGAAAAAAATCGTGTTTAGTTGGGTTTTTATTTTTTTGTTGTGAATCAGAGTTGCACAACAAGGCCCAAATATGAGAAACAACAATTTATAGCTTTGGATATGATTCATAAACATGTTGCACACGGGATTCCTACTGGTTGGGTGCTTGATTTCATTAAAACAGACCAGTTTTCGAATCCCCACAGAAGCAAATTTTTTTTTTTTTTAAACACCACCCCCAAACCCTTCTTACTTCAGCCGCCCCCAACCTCTCCATTTTCTCTCGAACACAAGCGCCGCTCTCCTCCTCCGGCCATACACGCCGGCGCCTTCTCCCCACTCCAGCCATGAACCCCGACCACCTCCGCCCTCCCGACCCTCCGCCTCCGCGCCTCCCGACCGGCCGCCTCCGCCCTCCGACCCTCCGCCTCCGCACCTCCCCTGCTCAACAGCCGCCGCCGCGACCTCCCCTGCTCAACAGCCGTCGCCGTGCCTCCACTGCTCAACAGCCTCGTCTGCCCAGCCGCCGCCGCCCGATCCTGCCGCCGCCGCCACTCCGACTCCCCTCTTTTTCTGGTTTTTAGTTCTTATAGTAGTAACTAAACGCGTTTTTGTTTCTTGTTTTCAGCTATCATGATTTTTCAGATTTATCAACTAAACAGGTTTGTGTTTTATGTTTTTTTCCTGTTGTGGTTGTACATCTGTTTACTCAACACCACTGCAACCACAACATCAACAAAATAATACTAAACGGGCCCTAAGAAAAAGTTCTTGATTGCACTCGTGATACAAATTAATAAATCGAGTGATGAATCGTAAAATTTACCCATAGATTAATTGAGTCTAGTAAGTTCACTGTTGCGGATCGGATAAATCCCATTCAACAACGGTTGTCGCCGCTAGACGAGATCGGATTCGCCTCTCTCCCGTGTCCAGGCAACCATTGCAGAAATGCTATAATTGCAGGAAGGCGTAGTAGAAGGAAAACGGGAACGTTTCAGGCTCGGCCCTCCCTCGCGGGCAAAGCTGCGCGAGATCCCAACCCAATTTTTCGTTGCTGTTGCATTGATTTCGATCTCTCGTCTCCGTCTGGGGAAGACAAATTGTCCTCTCTTCTCCAGATTAAAGACCAATAGAGCTGGATCGCAACTTCAGCTGGATTTGGCTTTAGCTGCATTGGGAAAGCCTTCTATTGTCATTTTTGTTGGCTGTAAGGTGAGTGATTGTCACATGATGAGCAACATGATAATGGTTCTCCCTCCAAGGGACTTGGGATCTGAATTCTCTGTTTTTGTTTGGATATCAGAGTTCTTCCCAACTCTACTTGTTCTGAATTTTGTATTTGGTATATATCTTCATTTAGGTTGTCTTCCAGTTTGACAATGAGAGATACAGAAGTTTTAGTTCTCAGTTCAATTGATTTCTCCTTGCTTTCCCTTAGGCTCTAGCCTGTGTTTTGAAAAATCCGATAATTAACGAACCAATGAACCAATTGTTGGACTTTTTAGCTTGAATGCCAATGTATCCGTGAGAGAATGTGCTACTAAAAGGTATATCTCTGATGGGTTTAAGTGTTCAATGGTGTGAACTCTGAAACATGTGTTCTTTGTATTTGTAGTTCCTCTCCAGGTTAAGCATATTTCTATTTCTGTTGAAATTGCAAATTAGTTTTGGAGATTGGAACAAGTTGGAGTAAGCCTAGGCGGGATTTTGTAACCGGACAAGATGGCGGCAGCAGAAGATAGTGTTGGTGAAACAGCTGAGCATCACGTGGAAGAGGCTTCCACAGGACATGATGGCAACGCGAATCTTGCCATGGAAAAAGATTTCCATGACAGCAAGCCGCTGTCAGATGCATCTCACGACCAGCTTCTGCAAATGGTTATCGAACTCAAGTTTCAGAATGATGTGCTAAAATCTCATTTTGAAGGCTTAAAAGGTATTAACGTGGAACATGATAGTGCTCACACTAAAACAGAATCAGGTGACCAGGAAATGGAAAGCTTGTGTAATGTGAAAGAACTCCATGAACGGATAGAAGCTTTGAGTAAGGAACTTAACGAAGAGAAACAAACTCGAGCTGCAGCAGAGGTGGCTTTGGAGCATCTCCGAGAGTCTTATTCAGAGGCTGATGGGAAAGCCCAAGAACTCTCTGCCAAGCTCACTGAAGGTCAGTGTAGTCTGTTTATTTGGAGGCCTTAAAATTTCTTGTTATACAGTTGGTCAGCCATGTTTCCTGTTAATGCTGGGTCAACTGTGTGAAGGAAAATTATTTTAGAATGTCTTTGAAAATTTGATAGAATGAGACATGAGAAAGCCTCCTTAATCTGAATTTTTTGCTTGATCTGTAGCCCAGCTGAAGTTGGACCAGGAAATAAAAGAACGTGAAGATAAGTACGCTGAACTTGATGCCAAATTTCAAAGGCTTCATAAAAGAGCTAAACAGCGGATCCAAGAGGTTCAAAAGGTAAATTTTATCCCTGGATTGTGATCCTAGTTTGATATTTTAGTTTAAATTTATCCATCATTCACATCTGATTTGTCGTCCAACTGTAAAGACCCCATGCTAGATGTTAGAAGATTAGCCTGTGCTTGTAATATGTCCAGAATGATAATGTTGAAGAAGTGCTTATGAGTCTTCTTTTATTGGTTTCAACTATATGCTCTTTTCCTCTTTATTGCATCCCATGTTGCACATAGTAGAATTATGCAGTTGTATGTGTTCTGACTCCAACCGCTGCTTGGAGATTGTCTTTTCAGGAAAAGGATGACCTTGAGGCCCGATTTCGTGAAGTAAATGAAGCTGCTGAGCGGGCATCATCCCAGCACTCAACATTGCAGCAAGAGCTTGAGCGGACCAGGCAACAAGCAAATGAAGCATTGAAAGCAATGGATGGAGAGAGACAACAATTAAGAAGCGCAAACAACAAGTAAAATGCCTTCTCCTAATGATATATCCTAGTCTTACGGCTGATGAATTATGTCCTCATTCTATGTCGTTGGTATGGTCCCCAAAAATATTTATCAATGACATTTATGTAAACCTATGGGCACATGGTTGTGATTTCTGCCAATACCTTTTGGATTATTCCTAGGTTACATATAATCAGTAGCCACTGCAACATCAAATGTCTTTTGCCCTATAGGCTGGGTTTACCGTATACAGCCTTCTTAGTGACAAGTATCTTTATCTTCATCTTCCTGCACATGAAGTGAAAACATCTTCTATGTCCTCTTGCGGACAAAATTATATATATACTTTTTTAGCTCTATCTAGATCAATCCTCTTTGTGAAGCAGTTTTTTTTATTTGCTTTTCCTCAATCAATGACATCTCCACTGAAAATTCAGGCTTCGAGATGATATAGAGGAATTGCGTCGATCCATGCAACCAAAAGAAAGTGCTATTGAGGCATTGCAACATACTCTTTCAGAGAAAGAACAGGTATTAAAATAAATGTTGTTGGATTTTCCCCCTATAACTGAATCCAACTCAGCAGTTTTCATGTTGTGTTCCAAAACTTCCATCCCTTTGATTCTTTCTTCATTCTGTTTCTTCACTGTTTTGCCCTTGAAAATTACTTCTTACTTTTTTTCTCATGCTTTGCTCTTAGATGTTGGAAGATATGCGGGGGTTGCTACAATCTGCTGAAGAAAAAAAGCAAACTTCAATATCCGAGCTTTCTGCCAAGCATCAAGAGGTTATCTTTTGCAATGCCTGTCATGTGGTTCTTTTTCTTATCAAGAATCCTCCTTTTGTTTGGTAGTTCACTTTTGTAGTGGTTAACTGTATGCCTGCTTCCTTTTTGTTTATGCCAGAATATAGAACATCTGGAAGCCCAGATTGCTGATGCTTTAGCCGAGAGGATGAGGGCTACTGAAACTATTTCTTCACTGCAGGTATGGTTCATTACTGTAGGTCATTTTTTGGTTAAAGCAACTCAAAGCTCATTAATTTGGGGCTCATGTTTGTTTGGAAAATTTTATGGATGGAAAGGTGGAGCTAAGTAGTGATTTGATTTACAGATTCTAGTTGCAGAGAAAGAGTCAAAGATTGCAGAGATTGATGCAGCTACCAGTGGAGAAGCGGCACGACTTAGGGCTTCTTTCGAAAGTATGAAGGGAGAAATTGCTCATCAAAAACATGTACACGTATGAATTCAAATACTTCTACTTCCTCTGATTCGGAGTCAAATATTGCTTTATTCTCTTGCATTCTGTTCAACTTCAGCCCCTTCATATATTTTTTCTGCTCACTTTGGGACTGTTTGCTATCTAGTAATGTTTAAACTGATATAAGCAATCTTTGCATGGGACTCGTGAGCACCTCTGGGCTCAGACAGTTAGAAATCACATTATAACTTAACCAGTGTAATTGAAAAGCAACTGTCCGTTCTATTACATGCTTGGTCCTGCGGCAGCTACTGGGAAGTACCAAGATTCGATATATGAAAAGAACAGCAAGCAGTTAAATATAGAACCAATTATGCATTACAACAACAAAACCGTGTAATTCTTGTCCTTTCTTCTGAACTGTGTTATCCATATTTCTGTCAGTATTCAACAAACAATCACTTTTTATGGATAAAGTTTACTTGGCTGAAGTACTAGGTTGTTAGCTGAAATGTTGAACTGATATTATCAATGCATGCATACATTTTGTGTTTAAGGCCTTTTTAATCATATGTCTATTTTCAGGAGAAGGAAAAAGAAAGGTTTGAAGCTGACATACAAAAACTCAAAATGAAACTGGAAACTACAGAGAGCAACTGCATACATTCTGAGATCGAAGCAGCTAAGCTAAGAAGTACCCACACAATTCGTTGTTGTTGTCTTATTATTAATGTGATATGTTTCTTTTTGCAAATCATTATGTTCTCCTTGTTGCATAGGCCAATTGGAGTCGGAAAAGTCTGCTCAGACCCAGGTACTCAACAAGAAAGATGCTGAACTATCAATAGCAAAACACGAGGTACTAACATTGGTTCTTAGTAAAGACATGACGTTTTGAGGTCCTTCAGAGTGTTTTACATCTCTCATTTGATCATTGATGGAGGTAGCCAAAGATGAGAGTACTCACAAGTCTTGAAAGGAGGTTATGGGGTAGGACCAATTCATTGTGAATTCTACTCTCCACTGACTTGTTTCTTTCTGCATTCATCTATTGCAGATCAACCGCCTTGAAAGTGAGTTTTCCTCGTATAAGGTTCGTGCTCATGCACTTCTCCAGAAGAAGGATGCTGAGCTTGCAGCAGCCAAGGACTCCGAACAGCTTCAAGCACTTGAAGAATCACTGAAAGTGAGTGATCCGCTATTTCTAATTTTGTGCTGTTGCTTTATTGGCATATTTATGAATTTTATATGTATCAGTCTTAACTTTTGTGTGTTGCAGGATGCTGAAAGAGAATTGTTGTTGGTATCCGCAGAAAGGGATAAAGCTCTGCAGGATAGACAGGATGTATTAGCTGATCATAGTAAAGAACTCACCGAAAGGTAACTTTTGTTGCCTTTATGTCATGATTAGTGCATCTTTGTTCATACCTCTGTCCATATCTGTCTATCTGTGACCTGTCTGGTGTAGTTATGTAAGGGATTTTTGAGGCATTATGTAGGCTGAAGGAGATGGCTTTTGCTGTAAAACATGCTAGTACATATCCCCCTCACTTTTAGACTGCATATTTGCTGTTTGGATATTAGCTATGTCCTTTTCCTTTTTAGTTACATGCAGTTCACTTTCCCTCAAAACCCTGAATAAGGGGACGATTGAAAAAATGCTGTGAATGTATTCAAATTTGTGTTATGATATTAAATATTGGTGTCTTCATGAATTCCTTCCACACTTCAAATGTGCATGTTGGGTTATGCCTTGCACCTCACTGCACATGGGGCTTGAATGTCTATCTACTCTGACATAATTCCTGTTTAATTCTCTCTTCATTATACTTTGTCGTCTGAATGCAATCCAACTTTGAGCTTGGACAGTTGTTTAGACATCTCCATTGTGACCTGTTTCAGGGATGAAGCTCTGAATGAGGCTCGTCAGCAGATCAAGAGCATAGAACGAAAGCTGGATTCTGCCATTTCTCATCACCAATCAGAGAAAGAATCATGGGAGATAAACCTTCAAAACTTGGAAGAAGCATGGAGATGTGAGACACAATTAGCATCATTTAGCTGTAGTCTTCCACAATTGTCTTTTTGTTTTTATTACCTTAGGATGTATGCTGAGCTTTCAGTGGGATAACCTGTCTGCAGTGAGGTGTGAGGCAATTAAAGCTGAGACCGAAGCTTCTTCTGGGCAAGATATCCAAAGACAGCTAGAAGAACTCAAACTTCAATATAAAAAAGTGAAGGTACTTTAGTCTGGCCTTTTCTTCATCATAAGTTCACTGTAACTTTAGTAACTCGGACTGATGAGTTACTTGGATGACTTGTAGGAAGAGCATAGCGCGTTCCGTGACCTTGCTGATAGAATGATTGAGGATAAAGACAAAGAGATTTCAAAACTTATTGGTGATAATAAGAAGCTTCGACAGTCTCTGGATTCTAGCACATCAGTATGTTTCTTATCCCTTCAGTGAAAATGTGTGGGATGTATCTCTCGATAAAAAAGGTATGCATTTAGTTAACTCTGGGTTTTATCATTCGTCTCAGGCTGATCAAAAGGAAAGTAGTCTCACAGGTACTAGGAGCTTTGTTGTCTCTCACTACTTCTATAGAACAGCGTCTTTTTTGGATCTTAAAGGCTTCATTAACTCTTTTGCTGGGTCTCTCTCCTTTGCATTGGCGGCGATTCAGCCTTCCACAACCAGGATGCAGGAAACCTAAGCACCTCTATTGCTGAACACCAGATTCTGGTACTGTAGCCTCTTTTATAACTATCATGTGCCACAATTTTTGTAGAGGTCAGTTGACGGGGGAAAACATTGGGAAGTATCAGTCGGGAGCAAACAGCAGTCATAATTTGTCCTAGTGCCTGTTTCAGGGAAGAATGATAGGAAAGTGTTCAATAATATGCTTTTATTGCTTGCGTTCAGCTGTGGTCTTCTGAAATCTGGAGCTGCATGTTTTATAGATTGGATCAACTAGTCAACATGTAGTTACAAAATATACTAATGAGAATTGTTCAAAGTTGTTAATATGCACATAGCCTGAAAAGGAAATCAAGGCATGACATGTTTTTGTTCCTTTTACTGTCTATTCCACTACTGATGACTTTATCCAACTGTGCATCATGGCTTCCCACAATTATTTTGCTCTTGAAGAGTATTTCTTGAATTTGCAGCTTCTTGCAAGGCAACAGGCTCAAAGAGAGGAAGAGCTAGCACAGTCCCAGCGCCATATTTTAGCACTTCAAGTTTGTTTTCAGAATCAGCTACCTCTGCCTTTTTTGTTTCATTTTTCGCCCTTTTTATTCATGTGATGCAGATACTGAGAACTGTTTTACTGTAGGAGGAGATTGAAGAACTTGAAAGGGAAAATCGTCTCCACAGCCAACAGGTAGTAAAAGTAATCATTATTATAGACTATAGACAAAGTATGTTGGATATATCTGAACACTTGCTGCATGACTATGTATATTTGGATTTGCTGGTGGTAGGTGTCCATGTTGAAATCTGAGTTTCGAAGCATGGAGAGAACACAGAAAAGAGATGGTGTTGACTTGACATATCTGAAAAACGTCATCGTGAAGCTTCTTGAAACAGGTAGCTGTGCCTCTTGGTCTCTGAGCTCATTCAAAACCCCTATTATTTTTCCCTTCTTAGACTCTTGACTGAAGCCTTGGACTAAGAGATACTTTACTAAAATTATATGAACAGGTGAAGTGGAGGCTCTGCTCCCTGTTGTTGCAATGCTTCTTCAATTCAGTCCAGAGGAGGTGAAGTTTGATTCTTTCAACTATATATAGCCTTCTGTCTTCTCAGTGTGAGCAGGCCATATGAGACTTTTGTTAACGTTGGACCTGTATTGGAATATCAGGTCCAAAAATGTCAACAAGCATACCGGGCATCGCAGGATGCTCCATCACCAACTCCTGCTAATGATGCATCTGGATCTGGTCTCTCTCTCCTCTCTAGATTTTCATTTTCCTGAGCTGTTGAAAGAGGGTGACTGGAGAATCCTGTTTTATTTTTACTGCTCCAACAGTAACCAGCAGCAGCTGACCTGCTTTATCTTCTGCCAGAGAGGGTGCAGTTTTGACTGGAGGGCCTATACTACTCTTGTATTCTCCATTTTCATCTCTCTGGTTTCGATTTTGAGTTTAATTATTGTTAAGAAAGTACAAAACCCTAATCATATGGTTGGGGGTTAATACAGCGTGGTAAAGGTAGGAGACTTGCCTGTGATATCATACACCGTGTACATGAAAGTTGAGACCAGTATATTCATATTTATATATATTGCGGACATCTTGATCTTCTTGAGGAAGCTTGAAGTGTTTATGCACAGGATCTGAGTGGACGGTGAATTGATAGTGTTTCTGTAGGCTAAAATTTCAATTCGATGATACATTTTGCTTCATGTGACATATATGATCCTCCATTCATACTTGCTGAAAGCTGGTTTTTAAATTGCCAAAGCAGATGGAGATTGTTCTATTACATTTCCATTCGGTAAATACTATGATTGGTCATATCACTGAGATTACTAAAAAAACATCTAAGTTTAATCACTAAAAATATTTTATTTTATTTGTGGTCACTAAAAAAATGGCAAGTTTGGTTACTCTTCGTCCAATTTTGTTAACTTTTGTTTATGTGGTAGTCAATTCTTTAAGTTGACCGTTAAATATATGACGTGACAATTAAAAAATATTAAAATTAAATATTTCATTATTTTCATCATTGAAACATAAAAATAAAATTTTTTATTGCTCAATCTCTACTAAAAAAAAACTCAACGTGCTCTCGTCCAAGCTATTCGCCGACGTGCGCCACCACCCACCAGCGCCGGACCTCGTGGGGAGGATGTGCTTAAATGCTACCTCCTTCCTCGACGGGTGGTTGCGATGGCGATTTTCGTTCAATTCACTGACGAGGATGTGGCGGCTGGAACTCGTCGAGGGGAACTATCCCTGATTGGGCGGTTGATTGGAGTGCCACTGTCGCTTTAATTGTCAAGACCATGCTCTCTCGCGTCTAGCGAGCGGTTGGGGAATTTTCCATTTCTCCATTGGATTTTGGGCTCACCCACTTGGTCTTTTCCTCCCCGTCTGACATGCAGACGACATCAACTGGTTAAACATGGATCTTCCCCAAGTTCCTTCTGTCCTTGGGACCTTGGATGCAACCCTCGCAGGAAGTGGCGGATCGTATTCGTTGGGTGTCTTTAGGGGTGCATATTTGGGGCATTCCATTTGATTGCTTCACGTCAAAGATGGCCAACCGCCTGGGCTCGGCCTTGGGGCAAACAACTCCACCAACCCTACATCGGGCGGAGATTTCTGGCGGCCTTTATGTTCGGGCGGAACCGGTGTTGGATAGTTTGACTCCCTTTAGGACAAGATTACGTCAGGCCATATGGATCAAGGCAAAGGTAACTTCGTTGCCAGGATTAAGTTTGAAAAGGTTCCTACTTTCTGTTTCCTGTGTGGGATTATAGGGCCTATTGGAGCTGCTTGTCCTCAGAAGGCCGAATTGGGTGCTGCACCGCCGAGATATGGGGAGTTCTCGCTGGTAACTGACTCCGGAGACAAGATCACGGAGGGCACCTTAGCCAAACGCAAGAAACGGTTCACCTGGCTACGGGCAAAGGCTACACGTTCCCCTCCCGTTCATGGGGTAAGGACCTTTCGGGTTCCAACCTCAAGCCCTGTGGTGCTTTCTATAGTTCCAACAACGATTGGAAACTCGAGCTCCATGTGGGAGGACATACGCAGACTGCTTGTTGGGCGTGTAGGAGTTCAGCTGCAGTCACTTAGACTCCAAGCGAACACGACTTCTTCTCAGCGGGTTGTGGCATCTCCTATTGCTATCAATCCGTCGGACGCGGTGATGCGTGACTCCCCAGAGGCAGGGCTGCTGCCAGGTTCTTCCTCTCTGACAGCAAAGCGTGCTCGTCTGACAATAGAGGCTCAAACGACCAAAGATAGGGTGGAGGAAACCAGCCCGGACTGGTCCCAATCCACACCATGAGCATTCTGGCTTGGAATTGTCGAGGAATGGGCTCCTCCTTGACAGTTCCTACGCTAGGTGGAGTCGTCACTCGGTTCCAACCTCTCCTTGTTTTCTTGTGTGAAACTAGACGGGATGAGGACTTTGTTCGTAACAAATTTAGTCTTGGGTATAGGATGTTCAGTGTCATAGTTCTCCCAATGGGAGTGGTAGTATTGCAGTAGCTTGGAGTCCTTATGTCTCATGTACATTTTGTTTTCTTTCATAATTCCTTTCTGTGGTAGATTGTACAGCTGCTAGTTTGGGTCCCTTTGCTATTTTATTTGTGCATCTTTCTTGTGATATAGCCATTCGACAAGATCAGCTTAATCAAACTGCTCATTTTCTTTCATCTGTGTCTTCCCCTTTGTTTGTCATTGGTGATTTTAATTGACTTCTTAGCTTTGTGGAGAAGGTCGGTGGTAAGTTTCCCATCCTTAGTCGCTTTAGCTTAGCTTAATGACTTTATCAATGCAGCAGGGCTAATGGACTTGGGGTGTCATGGCTCCCCATTTACATGGTCAAATCGTCGATCCGCCTCGAACCATATCATGGAACGACTAGACCGATGTCTCGGCAATGATGAAGTCCTTGCTACGTGGCCTACCCTCAAGGTCATTCACCTCGACCCTACTTGAGTCTCCAGGTTTGTTTTCAATCTTTTCCTTATCAATTGTTGGAGAATCAGACAAAGGTGTGAAGTGAGCTAATTTTTTTGTGAATTGATGCTTGAATGAAGAAATTAGGGTGAGGGATTAGCCGATTAAGGTGTTTGAATGAAGTTTGATGTTGCATGAACTTAATTGAGCCTTGGTGGGCATAAATTTGGGTAAAATTTGTGGATGAATGTTAAAATTGCCCATCAAGTGCAAAAATGTGAATGAATGTGAATCAGTGCTTTTGATTGACGGTTGGAAGCCATCGGGGCATGGTTTAGGTTTGTTTTTCTGTGTTGATAATCTGTGAACCACCTAGGACCATGACTCAATGAGCTCGTGTGCATTCAAGCTTAAGTTTTCCAAAAGCCGTCTTGTGAAGAGCCTTTAAGGCATAAAACCGTAGTGGAAGCATGAGTGTGGGGGAATTATTTTCTCCAATTGATGTGTAATTAACAGTTATTTCCACGTATGATGTGTGTTTTGGATGATTTACAGGATGGTGGACACGGAGCACGACTTCATCAGCTATTTAGTGAACCACACGAAGTACGGGGCCAAGTTTGGCCAGCGGAGGTACTGTGAGGCTAGGCCCCATTGGATGCTCAATCTGGACATGTTCAACATGTTTAGATGTCGGGCAGCGATGTCAGGGGTCCTCAATAACCCCCAGTGGAGGCAGCTGCTGGCAGTGGACGAGCTTATCTACCGAGAGCTCTGCGTGGAGTTCTACTCCAATTTCTCCCACATCATTCCGGGGAGTAAGAGGAGTAGACCCTACGTGGAGTTCATGCTGGGAGGTTAGGCGAGGGTGCTGACATATGATGGCTTCTCTCAGGCCATGGGGCTTGACTCCACCCACATAGCGATGACAGAGCGGCAGTACACTGTCAATTTCCACTACCAGGCGGCCTTCCACGTCATTTGCCGCACCGAGTACCAGGGCGGCGAGTTCAGAGGCTCCAACACCAATGTTATGAAGCTCATGACACCGTGGAGGATACTGTACACCCTCTTGACGAAGTCCGTCATCCCCAGCCTGCTAGTAGGGCACTTAATCACGAAAAGAGGGTTGATAGCCCTCCATTCCCTGAACCGCCCAGCTGATTCGCTCCATCTGGGAGCCATGGTTGCTACCACCTTTGCTCGATGCAAGGGCCGGGACCCAGTGAACATGATGCACTTGGGGAGGCATCATCACTATAACATGAAGTTGGTGTTTCAAGGGGAGAGAGGAATCGAGTTCCTCGAGGGCCTTCGACCCTCAGCAACTTTGCAACCCCAAGTCGACCCTGCACCAGTGCAGGCTGATCCAGAGGTTCCTCCCCAGGAGCAGCCACCCACCAGAGCTCCGGGTCGTTGTCGATGCATCGCAGCACCGCCATCATCAGTTGCATCCTCATAAGGGGCCGGACCATCTACCTCCGGACCCCACCTTGAGGCACATAATGTGGGAGTCATTGCTCGGCTCGATCGCACCGCCGATCTTGTAGAGAGGATGGGTCGACACTAGGGCGTCCTCTCGGATGACGAGGAGTGAGCTTACCAAGACGAGGTAGCCGTCGAGAGAGACATGTGGCAGGGCCGATTTCTTTCGTCCCACTTCTCCACTTGCAAACTCTGAGCTCTTTTTCTTTTTATTTTCTCCTTAATTAGTGTGTGAACTAGTACCTTGTGAGTTCTTTATTTTAAACCGTATTGTGAAACTTTGTTATGTGTAATAACCTCTCCACGAGCGAGAATGTGCTTTTGTTTGTGTTTTGTTTTGTTTCTCCCTTGAAGCTCAAACATCCTACCCCGGGAAATTCTCCAACTTTCATTCACCAAGCCATGTGGTAACTGACTCGCTACGACACAACACCAAACTGTGACCAAGTATAATAGCAAAATGGAAATGCAAAATAGTGGTTTAGTTTAAATTATCGACCCGAGCTCTAGATCTACTGCCTACTTCGTTAACTTCTATTATCTAGCAGGACTAAGTGAGTGAAGCGATTTCAAATCAAAATAAATGAAAAGCAAGTAATGTTCTGGTTCTTTTCTGGTGCTAAAGGTCATCTAGGTATGGTTCCCCCTAGTGTGCAGCTAGTTCAGGTTGCTCTTTTAACCTATGCAGAGACTATCGTTCTAGGTTAAAGCAAGAATTACACAGGTTTGATCATGATTCATGCAATTCTTATTGATTCCTCAACAGAATTTATCAAATCAATCATTTGACAATGGGGTTTATACAATCATTCCTAACATACACAGCTAGGGCTCTTCATAACCAGATGAAATGGAAAATTACTCCATGGAGTAATGTGAGAACGTCATGCTCGGAAAAGACATCATCAAAACGACAGTGGGAATATGCTCCTGGCGGCTAATCGGTACTTTGAGGTTGAGGAATCGAGCTCCGAAGTCTTCAGATTGCTCCAATCCTTGAACTAGGGTTTTCCTTCATCACTTTCTATAGGGTTCTTTTTCTGCCTTTACTACTCTAAAAATGAGGATCCTTTTCCTTAGGCCTGAGCAACCCTTTTATAAGCTGAGAATCTGCGAGTTACGGCCTAAGCTACGGTCTTAACTTGGCCTGCACGCCCGTAACTCTCCATAAAACGACATCGTTCCTACTCTTCATAAACCAAGAGTTACGGCTTCTTTGGAGGAGTTACGGCATCAACCGTAACTTGAGAGGGGAGATCGTAACTCTAAAAACACCCCTAGAACTGGCGTTGTCGCTACCCAATAGTTACGGGTGCATGGGATAAGTTACGCTCTAGACCATAACTCCGAAGACCTCTCTAGAACCTTGGTGCTTCTACTCCGGAAAGTTATGGGCTCTTGGGACAAGTTATGGTTGCGACCGTAACTCCCAAGGCTGGCTCGTAACTCCTCCCAGCTTTCTGCCCGTTCGCTCCAAATTGTCCCATAACTTGCTTTTTCACCCCCCCATTCACGTACTAGAACATGAAACACCATAAACCAACACAACCTAGTATAAAACGGGCCACGGTAACGAGAATACAAGCTCAAAAGCTCAAGAAATGGTGGGAAATACATGTTCGAATATAGCGTTATCAGTAACATCGTTCTACCCCCTATTTTACGCCATTGGGGCAATGTCGAGCTTAAGTGTGGGGGGGGGGGGTAGTTTATTACTATGTTTGTGTGTGTGATGAATGCTTGGAGCCTTGATATATGCCCAAATTTAAAATATTTGAGGTCTCGAAGCAATGCATGATCAAAATGGTCGGTTGATGGGTGAATCTCGTGCTTATTTGGCATGTATCTTGAATTGTTGCATGTAATCGAGTGCATCCTATTATGGTGATTGAGAATGCATTAGGGTTGTGCAAAAGCTTAGTTATCATGTGTTTGAATGAATGGATGTCTTGACTTGGTTACTTCTTGATTACAATTGCCATGCATTGAAGTTTTTTAAATTGGAATAGATGATTGGGCAGCTTGGTAGCCATGTGATTTTTGTGCGATCGTCTTTTTCATGTGTGATAGATCCCTCTCGCCATGGTGTGTAACATTCACCTTTGTCACTAGTGAGTATGATGGAGGCATAGGATTAGACCATGCAAAAAAGTTGATTGTCCCGAAATATTTTATCCCCTAGTCAACTCCTTTGGGGCATGTGACTTTGGGGGTCGTTCTAATGCTAGGAGCTTCATGCTTGATTGAGCTTAATGGTGATTGAAAGAACGAAATCCACCCATCCTTTCTTCGTGTCAAAGTGTGAGTCATCCTTTTGTCTCGGAGTTCTCGCTTTTGAGCTCCATTGAGGTTCTACATAGGTGGTTTTGCACGGTTCTTGCTAGAAACGAGAAGGTAGTGTTGGAGGAAGGTTCTTAAAAGGAGAGCATTGTTCGCTAAATGAAAGATGTGGCATGTGTTAAGCTCTCTAGTACCCCCTCGGAAAAAGAGAAAAAAAGGAAAGAAAGAACAAAAAGAAAGAAAAGAAACGAAAAAGAGGTAATAAAATGAGGTAAATAAAAGTTGAGAGGGGCCACAAAAGTCTAAGTGTATGCTCTAGAAAGGGTTTCTTGGCACTCAGGCCATTGAAACACCTAAATTTTTTGATGACCTCCTTCACTACTAGATTTGAAATGTGAATAGCAAGATAGGCCGAAGATGTGTGCTTGAATGTGGTTCGTGATTGTTAGTGGTTTGGAAGAAGGAAGTGTGGTTTGGCCTACGCTAGTGGTCGTTGTTGTAGGAAAGGTTCTTAGTGGAAACCATAGAACCTTGGGTTTTAGTTTGAAGATGTAGGACCTCACTCCATGTTTGCCACAACCCAAAAATCCTTTTCTCCATGTCCAAGACAATTGATAGTCATTTGAACCCATGTCTAAGACCTCCGGACAAGCTAGTGATGACAACCGTCCCGTGAACTCTAGCATTTAGAGGTTGCCACCGTGGTGGAGAGACGATAGGGATGAATGTTGATGATTGTGCACATATTTTGCACCAAAAAGGTCCTGACCCCACTAGTCGAGAGTGAGTGATTCATCCTTATTTTGCATGTTCATATTTTACCCCGGTGAGGACCTATGTTTCCCCGTTGTCAATTTCTTGGACTTGAGTTCTATGCATGGTTAGTTGTGGTTGGTGAGTAGTCCGGTCGAGACTTGCATTGATTTGTGAACAGGGTGAGAACTTTTCATTTGCCCATTCTTGTGCCTTTTGATTTGTCCCCAA